TAATATATGACCGGACATATAATAACTGTCCAACATTCAAAACCGCTTTTGAGGGAACATCACATCAGGAATAGATATAGGTATACGCATGCATGCGAGAGCTGCGAGCTGCGAGAGCCGAGAGCCGAGAGCCGAGGCAGCTAGAATACAAAACATATATAGCTATACCCGTGTATACGCACATATTCCTTCCCCCTCTACTAGGTACCTATCGTACGCACAATTTGGTCTTCTCCTCCGCTGCTGAAACGTGCGTATAGTTCGGCTGATTTGCCGCGACGGGGCGCTCAAAACAGTGGAAAAAAAGCGACACACTCTCTACCATAGGCGCTGGCAATCTCCCTTCTAATCCCTGAACTCGATATAGAATTCGGTATTGAGACATACGACATACCTATTGTATTGGTAATGTCTCGAGCAATATAAAAAAAAGGCACCTTTTTTTTGAAGTACCAATTATAAATAACTACCACCATGTAAGAAAACATTGTGGTGCGCATGCGCACAAAACATTTGTTGCTGCTGTGTTACGTGTTAGTCTGTGTATATTATCTCACTGACCGACACGCAGGACACGCTTAGAGGATAGGGCCCCTGGGGAGTCGGAAGAGATATATCATACAATATTTCACCACTTTTTTTGTCATTTATTGTCTTGTGGTATGTCATATTTAAATATTTCTTAATTATAAGCTTTAAAGGATAAAAATTTTATTCTTAATTTATGTATAATAATTGCTTCAATCCACATGAGTGAGCTGTTCAAGACCACATATTAGTGAAAGTTGCCTAGTTAAGTCTAGTATACTAAACAAGGATCAAATCCGAATTTTATTTGCTGGAGCCTTGGTGATTTTAACCTAGGTTTTTCAAGTTCAGAGCCTGGTATTCAACAGACGGACTCAGCGAGCCATTCTTATACAATATTGACGTATTAGAAGGGTTAAAACAATTATGTTATTATAGAAGACAATACCTGTCAATATTGTCTCAAAATGATTGTGTACAAATAAAATTTATTCTATTGAACTTAACAAATTTACATAAGTTGACTTTTTCTCTGATTTTACAAAGAAGAAATGATATTACTAATTACTTATTACATAACAACGTGTTACCTCTGCTGCTTCAAAGATTTTCTGCACAGCTGCAGAAATTTCTGGTCCAATACCGTCGCCAGGTATAAGAGTACATTTTTGAACTTGAGTACTGTAGAAATTTACTCTTGCAACTTTAGGAAGTATCTAGTATAGTAAAAAATCAAATTGATTAATACAAACTTAGCCACATAATAGCAGCACTCAACAGGTCATATTTACTGAGAGTATATAAAATTAAATTAAGAAAAAATCTACGGTAAAATTTTGAATACAATAACTTTCAGTTCGAGTCACTTTAATAATATCATTTCTAATAGTTACTTGTATTATCAATACTACAATAAAAAATATTTTAAAAACAGCATAGCCTACTTTTAATGGACCATGTTTTATTTTTCGAAGAAGTACTTACAAAATGACGGATCCACTGAGATGCCATTATGTGAGACTGCGTAAAGAAAAAATTTTCTTAAATTTTGCCTTGGTACTGAAGAATTAAAGATAGATAGCTATACACTATCCTCTTGCACATAGGGATGAAGACATAGACCTATCAAGAGTAGACTGCTTATTTCGGGGAAAGGCAATGTGTAATTTATGGAGACCAAATGCAAGCCCTAAGAGTGGTCTAAAATTACTACCAGCCGCAATGATAACGGAAATTTATGAATATAATGAAAACTAAGGATTTAAAATGTTATTGTAATATTTCATTCTCATACTAAAAAAAGTTTTGTTGGTTAGATACCATGTGGCATAAGGTCAATTCTATGTATCAACACTATAAATTGCAACCAGAGATTTTAGTAGGCTGCAACATAAACCAACGAATGAAATATAAAAAGTTGTTCCACAAAAATTGGAAGTGCCATTTTGGCAAGATAAAAATTTATTTACTTCCTGGAAATTGACTTATAAAAAAATGCATGCCCCCACACAAAAACATACTAGCCAAAACATTATCGATCGTTTTTTGAAACGATGTATGGTTGGAAACAAAGTTGCAGCAATTTTCAGACCTAACAAAGAAAGAAAATAGTACATTACGATACTAGTGCGCTAGGAAGATGTTTAACGCACGCGCGTCAGTTGTCACTGTACGAAGACACGCGTGTGTCAATCACCTAACTTAATACACAAACCGAATTATGATTGGTCGATCAAGTTCTTGACTTGTCAGAGCCAAACGTTCATTGGGATTCCAAAAGGTCACGTGACTCTCGCGGTATATATAGTCACTTGGGGGAAAAATAAGACACAGGCCTTGTAGGTGCAATTATATTTTTATTTTTTGTACACGTTAAAAGATTGTACTACGATGAAAGCCTTTCAATAACATATTTTTGAGGAGATGACAATACCTTAGTTATTTTTCCCTAACTCAGTAGTTTTTTGCAGCTTAAAACTTGCTTTTGAAAGTGCGAAAACGCACATATTTAACCTGTACAAAAGTCATGTTTATACACCTATATAGAAGCAGCGGCGGAAGGGATTTGTACAGGTTAAATGTGCGTTTTTGCACTTTCAAAAGAAAGTTTTAAGCTGCAAAAAACTAATTGAGTTAGGGAAAAACAGCTAAGGTATTGTTTTCTCTTCAAAAATATGTTATTGAAAGACTCTCATCGTAGTACAATCTTTCAACGTGTAAAAAAAAATTAAAATAGAGTTACACGCTTACGGCCTGTCTTATTTTTCCCCCAAGTGACTAAATACATAGCGAGAGTCACGTGACCTTTTGGAATCCCAATAGCTCGGCGAGAGAGAGAGAGAGGAATTCATGTAGATGTACCTGAACTCGGTTACCCTGTCAAGCTCAGCCGCCTGCATGCTCACGCCAGTAGTATATGCTCTAAGGTGTAAATTGAGGTCTTTAGAGTCACAACAGATAGCTCATAATTGAGGTCCCCGCATACAGCGTCAGAGGATATAGAATGTACTCTTCTTGAATAGAAGGCCAGATCGGCCGTTTTCGCGTCCGCAGTATTTTCTCTTTATATTTTAGTTATGCCCCCCATAAGGCAGGCAGCGTTAGTGTCGGGAGGCAACCGGGTAACTTCCAAATAGATGCCGATAACTATTACTTTCCGAGCAGCACGGCAAAATGCCTGATCATTAGTATCCTATATATATATTACTGATTTTTGATGCGAATCTACTGAAAAACACGTCTAAACTACAATTAATTAAAAAATATCGATAATGAAACTATAAAAAAAAGTTTTACATTAATTTTTCTCAACATGCATATCAAAAGCTTATGCAGGGGCACCTCACGAAATTCCACAAAATCTCATAGTAGATCTGTATAGTCGTTAGTTCAGAAGTAGAACTTTTGCTTTCAAACCCAAAGTTCTTGGGGTCAATGTTCTTCATCTAACTTTTTTTATATTTTTTTGATGAATGAAGCGTAAAAAAATTTTCTGCTCTGCGTTAATGTCAATATATGAGCTTGAAGGTGATACATCAGTACATACCATTAAAAATATGAGACAAAACTGTTTAATAAATTATTTTTCCCTCATATTGAGATAATTCGATGGAAACCAACGAAAAGGTAGCATTTCCTTCCATCAGGATAGGATTGTTACGTACGGTATGCAGTGTAATGGAAAGACATACAAAATGCAAGTAACTTAACTAATGAAAGCAAAATAACTTGTGTATTAAATAATCGAAAAACGATATTTAAAGGTTAAAAAATTCAAACAAAAGATTCGAGATACTATATACACAGAAAAATACATGAAAGTTTATGCATTCATTAAAAAAATTCTAATTATAAGTAAGTTAAACGTAAAAGAATTTATATAGTACAATCAAAGAAAGTTAAGCAACTCATGTATAATAAGTTTTTACATAAGTATACTAATTATATTTCATTCGTCTCGTTCGAAGACATACCAAATGCATTTTCCTTTCTTCCTTGATATATATCACGATTTTTAGAGTTAGTACTTAATTTTTCCACCAGAGGCCCCAGTGCTCTGCACTAATGGGTCGCTTGTGGCATACGTCATTCCTTTTTTTCGTGCTACAGGTACAGAGTCAACACGTGTGTTAGACCTTGAACTTCAAACTTCTTAGAAATCCAACATGCATCGCCAACCTAAGAGACGGCGTCTGGAGGAAGAGGCGGATGCATCAGGCACTGACACTGCAGGTGAGGTTCCCCCGGATGCAGATTCGGAGGAGGATCGTCCGAGCGATGACGACATCAGTGAGGACAAGCTGTCTAAGCCAGAGTACCCATCAGCATCGTCAGAGGAAGACAAGAGCCCGGAAAAGACAGGTACAGTTAGATAGGAACAAAAAGAAAACACCCGTAATCGCTCCGGGTCAGAGACCGCAACACATGTGTAGATTTACCTCACAGTGCTTCGGATCAGATGACTAAAAGGGGCATAATGTGACTTAGCGCATGCTCGCTATGTATCACGACGTGCCGCTCCACGATTTGTTTGAAGGGCAAGTTGACCACTACCGGATCACGCTCGCTGACCTTTTCACGACGTAAAACGAACCATGTGATTTTAAAATGAAATCACAAAACAAGCCACCTACTATGTTGCAGTCTCATGATGGGGACCGATGCTTAGCGACAAAGTTGCACTGGCACTCCCGTCCATAGACATATAAAAAAAGTAGACTGCTCGTTCTTATGTACGGCGCTAAATCACAAGTAGAAAGGGACACAACATCGAACGTGTATATCTGTCTCTCTCGTACGTTGCTAATGGTGGGGGCATGATGTAATCATGAGCAAGCCAAGGCTAGCTGACGCAACCTTCCCAGTCTTTGGAGCTATTTACATAAACATTTTTTGCTCATTTCATTGTGAACGTTCATATTTAAAAAGGGGGTTCCACTGTTCCGCTAAACTCAAAGTGAGTGAACAGACTGAACAGACGTATACCTCTTTTTCCATCCGGTAACAAAGCCTATGGTCGCAACTATGTTGACTGACAGATAACACAGTATAGGTCTGTTCAATCTGTTCACTCACTTTAAGTTTAGCGGAACAGTGGAACCCCCTTTTCAATATGAACGTTCACAATAAAATAAGCAAAAAATGTCTATGTAAATAACTCCTTTCCGCCGTTGGCAACGTGCGAGAGAGACAGACATACACGTTCTATGTTGTGTCTCTTTCTACATGTGCTCTAGCTCCTAGGTTAAGCAGCATTTGGCGCGGTTGATACTTGGATAGGTGACCGTTCAAGTCTCATCGTTTCGGGCGTTTCGCCTTTACTAGACCAATGGCTAAGGCCTTATGGTGATAAAAATTGTAACCAGCCACCACTGTCACTAGAATTACGGAATTCTTTGATTTGAAAAGCTCCAAAATATTTTGGTCATATTTCCAGTATTGGGTGAGGAGGATATGATTTTGCATTTTTATCACTAGGACTTATATATAGCTACAGATCCTGTAGCGAGAAAAATGCAAAAGCTAAATAGGCGGAGGGAGGAGGCCAGTGATTCTCCCCAAATGTGACTGGCAAACTTGCGGAAAATTCAAATTGGCTGTATGGAGCAAGGCGCAGATCCCCAGATAACTCGAATCAATTTCATGCACAATAACTTAATAAACTAATCCCGCTATTTAATCCGATAATTCAATGGGCCAATAAGCAGCCTCATAAGTTTGAATGACTAATAAAATTTATTAATTATACAAAGCAAGCGCCAATCCCTACACGACCCAAGCACTTACTGGCTGCTTTCATTATTTATGAGTAATAAAATAATAACGCAAGCGCCTATCCCCACACAACCCAGGGTGCTTACTAGTCACTCACTTAAATTACTATAAATAAAATAATAATCAAAGCGACCAGTAGGTGCCCTGCGTTGTATGGAGATAGGCGCTTGCGTTATTATTTTATTAATCATACATAATTAAAGCAACCAGTAAGTGCCTTGGGTCATGTGGGGATTGGCGCTTGCTTTGTTAATTAATAAATTTTATTAGTCATTCAAACTTATGAGGCTGCTTATTGGCCCATTGGGTTATTGGGTTAAATAGCTTGGGATTAATTTTTTAAATTATTGTGTATGAAATTGTGTTGAGTTATCTGGGGATTTGCGTCTTGCTCCATATTGCCAATTTGAATTACCCACAAGTTTGCCAGTTACATTTGGGGAGAACCACTGGCCTCCTCTCTCCTCCCATTTAGCTTTTGCATTTTTCTTACTATAGGATCGTTAGCTATATATAGGTCCTAATGATAAAAATGCAAAATCATTTCTTCCTCACCCAACACTGCATATTTTATTCTGGTGAAGAATTTTGTTGGCATCTTGTACCCGAAAATTGACCTTCAAAAATACAGACATTATTGTAATATTATCTTTAATCTTATTCACAACCCTAATCTATTTATCTCGAATGAGAATTATTGATAAGATCATCGTTAGATGAGCGTTAAATGATCGGTACGGAAAGGTTTTTTCACTTTCATTGAATTTGAATATTGCCGGGGCTTTAATTTTATGAACAAATTATTGAAAAAAATAAACTGGCAAAGTTATTGTGGC